CAGTCCTGCACCCAGTCTCGGGAAATATTTACAACGCAGTGAGAAAGGGCCAGCTGTAGCTGCTTTTATAATTCTATGAAGTACTCATACTTACAAATATTCAGAACTAGTTAAAGACTCTCCCATGATAACCTGGCAAAATAAAACAAGTAGCCTAATTTGCAAAGGTCTCCTTGGATTTTGATGTGTGTGTGACACCCACGATCAAATCCACACACTCCTAGGGTGGGCTGGATAAGTTTTTGGTAGCCTGCTTCATTATCAGAAGTTTGGTAATAAGCCTTACCACTAGAATGCCACTTCTTCAGCATCAATCATTTCTCAACCAGTTAATGGATTGGTGACTTCATCATGAATGAAAAATGGAGCATCCCTTGGTGTGAGAATCGAGGGAAATTCTTCTCATGCCAAACAGGAATTGGAATGGGTCAATGAAGAACAAAAGGAGGTGGAAATTTAGCAACTGCAGGGGCCTGCTCCGTGTAGACACATTTTTAAAAACTCACGATGGAAGTTCCTACTCAGATGGAACAGTCTACACTGGTGAGATCATCTAGAAGAATGCCAGACCTCCACCTTTTATGATATGGATAAGGGCTGGGACTGCACAGCAGAAACACCCACCTGAGATCGCGAGTTTCAATCTGAGAAACTCATCTTTCAGAGCCCTCTCAAGGTGATAACAAATCCCTCTGCATGGCCAGCCAGGTTGGTGGAAGTGAGCAGCTTCTCTGTGCCATAAAGCGTGCACACCTCTGTCTGGATGTGCCCACATAGTCTATGAAACACGTGCTTTGTTGGATTAATGGAATTCTTTGGTCCTTGGTTTTATGAAAGGCAATATTTTCACAATCCTGTCAATGTGGACATCAGCAAATGACTTCCAGCTGGGACTAATGGCACAGGGACAAATTTAATACCAGATGGAACACTCTACACCCTCCAAACTTCCCGGAGTCCCCTGAATGAGCGAGCTACAGCATCAGGTCAGGTGCTGGGCCAATGAGGCACGGTCAACCCGGATAGACACCAGCTGAGGCTTCAGATCCAACATCTGTCCTTTGGACTGCGCACACACTGCAAACATGGAAAGCAAATCTCCATCTTGATGATAGACTTTATGAATGTTTACTGGAGATGCACTCAATAACCTGACGTTTAGCCATACGAGAGCCCTGGTCTCCAGTCATCTTTAAAGCCTCAGTAAGGAGAATCAGTTGGTAGCTAGGGAAGTGTGGCCAACCGAAAGGAATCGTAATCTTTAGAAAAAATTTAAGTCCAAACTCTAGATGGTTTTATTAGACCCCAGACACAGTGGATGCACCACCAATGAGCTCCACGACTTAGACTCCACTAAAACAGCCCTGGGTGACTGGCCTCAGCTGATGTGATGCTCTTAATCTAGTTTGCCTTTGCCCTGCTAAACTCAGGTTTAAGTATGGCTTCACACACATAGTTCATTGATAAGACACTCAGGACACATGGGAATGCTGATTACGTAACTGAAATTGACTTCAGATTGTCTACACAGTAAGACTCACATGTAAACTTTGTTAACACCTCTCAAGGAGTGCTGACCTCAGCCAGGCTGGATGGTGCCAGATCATCCACGAGGGACCTGGGGTCAACCGCCAAGGTCAGGAGTAGGAAATGCCATTTGTTCAGAACAAATGATGGACCAGCAGCCCTCCCTGTGACCATGTCTAAACCATGTGAATAGTGCGAAGGGGGCTCCAGAAAACCTATCCTTGGTCCATTCATATGGCCAAAGGCAATCACCAAGCTGCCTGTCTGGCTCCTGCTGCCATCAGCTCAACCAAACTCTTCACATTAGCCATGACTTACAGACTGCGTTGAGTCCATCAATGTGGCTTATGTTGCTTGGAAGAAACAACAACCCGTATTACCCTTTTTTTTTTGCAACAAGCTTAAGGCTCTGTTCACAGACACCATCAACTGCCACACAGTGAGACTTTACGGGGAGGTCCTAAACTACATATGTAGTTGCAAAGGCTGCAAAATTTACTGATCCTAATGGTAAGGCTTATCCACAAATTCAGTACATTTTCAAATTATACTTCAAACTCAATTACTCTGAGAAAAAGAAAATTAACCTGCTCTCCAACAATATAAGAGCAGTAGATTCTAATGAAAAAAATAAAACCATTGGCACCAAACCAGTATGCTATTTTTTGAAAGAACAAGTGATGTTAATGGAAAAGATTGCCTAAAACGCATATCCTAACTTACCACAGAAATATAAAAGTTTATATTCTGAAAATATATACTGTATTAAAGTCTGTAAGCATTTCAACCAAAATTTGCAGAAATAACTGAGCAACACTTATCTACAACAAAAAATATACATGCAAGACAACCCCCAAATGGTTTCCCTTAAATATCTACAAAGGCAAAGTGTAGATTTTTAAAGATTATACAAAACCATTTACAGAGAATAAAATAAAATACTTATGAAATCTCATTTAGAGTCTTAAATACTGTGTATATTAGTGAGAGTGTCTAAACTAATATGTACAACAGATCTAAGTGTCTGAATACAGAAACACAGAAGAGAAGCAATTCTGCATTTTAAATATTCACTTAGGAAGATTTGAAGATGTTTCTATTTGTTTCTCTTAAAAAAATTTCCACAGAAACTAGATTGGAAAATTGCATGAATGTGACTCAATTTCAAATTAAAAAAAGTTTACAAAATCTTTTAAACCAACAATTAATGGGAAATGCAATTCAGCATTCAGTCAAGGCTTTTTTTTAAATGTGGATATTTGGAGCTATGATTGCATTGATCAGAGTCCATTTTGATCATTGTTTTTCCATCCTTATACTAAACTTCATATGGAAGAAACATATTATCATGCTTCAGAGAGAACATTTCCTAGTTTAATCTATACCGAACAAGTATAACATTTTAAATCAATTCTCTACTACCTTCTCAGAGCTAGCCGATCCCATTCTTAGAGGGTAATTCTTGATGGTTTTTGCCCACAGACATTATTTAAAAGCAGGAAGGGACACATGGGTACATCAGCGTTCGTGTGGTTTCCAAATGGTGAGCAGCTCTGACCACGTTGGCAAAGTTTGCACAGAGTCCTCTTGGAATGGGGCTGCTAACTCCAGTGGTCCCATTACAGGACGCTGGGTGCTAATCACCTGGGGCTGGAGTGGAGCGGGGAGGGGAAGTCTAATGTGGGGCTGGCGGGACGGCAAAGAGTGGGTTACCTACAAGGTTCCTCATCTGAAGAAGTACCCTCACTTGCCACCCACGGCGGTTCTTCCAACCCCAAGGTGAATTCTGGGCTTGGGCTGCCAAGACCAGGAAGCTCCTCAAAGACCTGCCCAGGCTCTGGGAAGGGACAGAATGTGGGGGTGGAGGCAAAGCACGGTGAAGAGAGGGGGAAGCAATCCTATGGGTGGAGAGAACGCGCTGTGACCAAAGATAAAAAGTGAAAACCTGAGCCCCCTGTCTTGAGAAAGCTCTTAGGGTAAACCCAGACACATGCACAGATCTGGCATTTTCCATCCCAGGTCAGTTTGCTAAAAGTTACCTGGATTTCATCTCCATATTATCAAAACAACTATCCAGAAAGTGGAGAATTCAGCTATGCAGTCTACCCTGCAGCAAGCAGATTTAACCTACTTTGGCCCAATTTGTGGAACATCCTCCTTGAACTGACTGTGTAGAAACAACCAAAACACAGACCGTCTTTCAAAACACCTCCTGTTATACCCAGAACCTACAAATTAACAGCAGAAATTCTACCCTAGTAACGGTTTCACATTCTTCCCCTATCATCAGAGATCCTTCCAACGGCGAAGGATAGGAAGGAGAGGGGCTTTCTACAGAGAGAACCAGGGCCACCTTGGGGATCGCATCCAGATGAACTTCCTATTCACTGTCTACAGGACCATGTCTCGAGGCTTAGTGTAGACACTCAACCCGCTTTTAAAACACAAGGCAGACAGAAAACTGTGGCAACAGCCTCCCTGTTCTCAGCCAGCCTCCCCTCCCCCCACCATGCCCAGCGCTCCCTGCTCCACTCACTGTCTCCAACAAGGGCCAAGACAGGCTGGCGACCACAGAGGGAAAGAGAAGAGCAGGGAGGCAAGGAGGCCTCTGAGAATACTCAGCGGCTGTGATGGACATGGAACAATCCCACCACTCCGAGAATCTAACTGACCCACAGAAGGGTGACGCCTCAGGCAGAACACGCTCCTGTCATTTTGCTGCTCCAAACCCAAGGTCTACCTTTCTCTTCATCAACCCAAACCCAAACCAAGTCCCGCCCCTTCTCTTCAGCTGATCCATGGACGTTGGGGTGATGGTCTAAATGCAGATGTTGGTAGGCAGCCCAGGGACCCTGGCACAGGAGGCCTCATCCCTGGTTATTTCGCCCTGATGTAAGTAAACAACTAGCAACAAGATCGTCTGCGCTTCTAGACACGAAATGATTCAGACCAAATGACAGCTCAACAGAGTGGGAGCTCTTTGCCCACCTCCCCGGAAGGCCAAAACCAGACAATGCTGTCCACATGGAAGAAATGGACTCTGAAATCCAAGTTCAGTCATTTGCCCCAAAGACAAAGGGCTCACTCTAGACAATATGCCATCTCTAGGCAGGGACTATTAGCTCTTCCTGACATCACGAGTTAGGGAGTGGGTATGTCTCAGTACCATTCAGGCTGGAGGCCCCTTTATCTCCTTCAAGGCAGCAGAGTGAAGAGAAAACTCTCCGTAATCTCTCCTAAGAGCAGGTACTCAATTATTACAGCTGAGAACTGTTTTACATGAAGAGGATCTGGTGCAGAGCTATTCCTTCTCTCCGAAATTTATTTCTGCGTGGTTCATTGCTAGAATGCACCAAACAGCATGAACCTTGTACGGGATTTGGTCCAGGGCAGTATGAAAATAATATCTGCGTTCAACGACAGATATCATAATATATAAACAAAAATAAATAAATTAAATAAGTTTGATTAAAGAAAAAAATCTCCTAGTAGTTCATGTTTTTGTAAAACTAGCTTTACATATAATACACATAAATTATCAGAATTTCCACTTACATTGTTTTAAAAATATATATTTAACAAAACATTCCTAAACATACAATATCTGGGTTTCCAAATCACTCAATTGGGTTTTAAGACCAAGCCCTAAAAGTCACACAAATTCGCATCAGAGAGAAGACTGAGGCTGGCTCTACACAACCATTTTGCTCAGTGGTCTGGAAATTCCCTAAGATTGATTGTCCCCTGTCACCGGATCTGCACTTAACCGGAGAGAGCCATACAGCCACGTCTCCAAAGCAGAGGCACTGTGTAGACACAGCCTGAGTCAGAAGGATGGGGGAAAACTGGCCTTCCCCTTCCCGGACCGGGATGGTGCATTTCAGCGAGTGCGGAGAGGACCAACAGTATCTGGCAGAGGCCTGGGAAGATATAGCCCTCGATAGCTCTCTGGCCAGTGGAGGGACGGGGATGGGGGTGGGGGCACCCGGGGGAAGCCGAGTATGCTGCGTTTCCCATCTGTTATACAAAACCAAACCAATGCGGAGCAACCAAAGGACAGGAGGAAATGGACACAAGAGAGACACCTTGACAAACGCCTTAGCCGGCGCACACCGTGCTCGGATTTCTGAAGCACAGGGCAAAGCTGGAAGTCAGGTGCCCTCGAGCGCTGGGGCAGGTGGGCTGGGGCTCTTCAGACTTCGTAAATTTTGTCCTGCAGGTAGCTGAACAGGGAATCCAGGCCCTTGGAGGAGCTCCAGAGCTGCTTGAGCATGAGGCATTCTTTCTCATTCACATCTTCAAGCACGGACTTCAGAAAGCTCCGAACGAGGCATTTCGATTCTTCCAACACCTGAAGGGAAACGCATAAGCCTCGTTAGCCGGCCCCAGGGACTCTGCTCCAGAACGTACTTGGCCTAGGAGGCACCAGTTAACCTTCCGATGTCCAAAGCCAGAGGAGACTGCCTGCTGTCGTCCAGAACTTCCCAGGCCCCGTGTCCCCAGCAATGCCAGGAATGGGCTCCGGGCACGCCAAGGTGTTGAGCCCTCGGTCCCTGGGATGGCGCAGTGGGGTCTGTGTGACCCCTGACCGCGAGAGCTTTGTCCCTGACCCAAGGGTGACATAAGCTCAGTATCATTTTCTATGAGTGTCATGAAAAAGTTTGGGAAACACCACTCTCACCTGCCATGCTTTGCTCTGATTATGTGCGCCCGCGTGACAACAGCGCCTACCGTAAGGATGGTTGGCATCACAGAGTAAGAGAACTAGCTGAGGGCTATCTGAGGATGCAGAGGGCTCACCCCAGCAGGAGTGTCTCTTGTTGAGGCTTAGTAGGAAGAGCAGCGGCAAGAGAACTAGTGACTGTTGTAGTAATGAGTAATACCAAGTGCAGTAACGGCAGTGATGCCTAGTAACAGCGAGGACAACAGTAATAACCCTACGGTATTGGAGCAGCAACAGCGGGAGGAGTTAGTAATGCCACCGTGGGGACGGCCGTGGCCGTGCTGATGCAGCAACGCAACAACAACAGCAGTGACATCAGGACTACGGCAGCGATAATGGTGGTGACAGCGAAAATCATCACAGTCATGAGCGACAGCAAATGTACTGATCACAGTAATAAGAGCAATGCTATTAGAAGTATATATGAGAAGTACTCTCCCTGCTTTCTTTCATTTCGTCCTCATGCTAACTGCAGAAAGAGGTAGTGATTTTACCTCCACATTATGACGAAGGACCTGAGCTCAGCGGAGTAAAGGTGCCTGAGCTGCGCAGCACACGGGGCCTGCAGACGCCCGGCTGACCAGGGCGGGCCAAGCACAGACACCGCGGGGGACTGAGGCACCCGAGCATCCTTCGTCCTTCCACCGGCCTCCGCCCTCCTCTGCTGACGTCAAGGCTTCGCTTCACACTTTCCCAAAGTGCTTTCAAAGAGAAAAAGCAGGACAAGGGCTCCCTTGCTCAAACAGGCTGGAAGGAAGCTGGGATCTTCCTAATTGGCGCCGGGCTGGAGGCTAAGGGGAGTGAGAAGGGGCCGGTGGACCAAGGCCGCCTCCCACCTCACAAGAGCTCCCCTGAAGAACCCCGGCTCCCAGGTCCCAGAGCAGAGTCCGTTCTCGAGCAACTCACCCCCAAAGCTCCTGAATTCACAACTGGAGACAGGAGAGATTTCCCTGCAGTATTTCTTCAACAGCTCGCTCGCCTCCATACCTCTACTGCCCAAAGACCAGACTCCTCGATGGAACTTTGAGGCCTTTCTCCCACCTTCCTTTTCAACTTTATTGTCCCTCACTCACCCCGTGAACCTGTTTCCACCACCATGAGCTGCTGCGTGAACTCCACGGGGCTTTTCGCACTTGTGTGCCCTCACTCACACTGCTTCCTCTGCTTAGAATGTCTGCATGCTTCTCCCTACAGCTGATCCTAGGCTCATCAACCATCCCTGTGTGCCCAGGACACGGGGATTCCTGAGACATGGGATTTCCAGTGCTAACACCAGGAGAGTTCCAAGCAAAGTGGGACAAGTGGATCAGGGCAGTTATCAGGAAGATTAAAAGACAATGCGCATAAAGAGATTAGCAGAGGGCATAGCTCATAATACGTATTCACCAATGAGGCGGACCTCTCCCTCACCATCACTGGCACTGTCAGGTTTCCTGGGAGCAGAGCTTACACACAGTAGGTGCCCAGTCAAGGCTGATGAGGCAAATTGGGAGAGGCACGGCGGCTGGGGCAGGGGGGAGGGGGAGAGGCATGGCGACCTGGACCTTGGGGGCGGGGGGTCCAGTGCAGACGGAGAGAAGGAAGGGACACTCACGGGTCTGATGCCATAAATCCAGCCCAGCACCTCCCTGACTCCGAAGCACAAACAGAAGCCCCCTGACCCCAACCTTATTCTCCCAAATCACCTTTCTCATTTCCTAGACTGGCCCCGTGGCTCCAGGAGCAGGCTTTACTCCACCTTTCAACAGGATATTTCCATACTGCGCTCCGAGTGACTTTTATGAGATAAAATCGACACTTAATTAAAATCCGGCGCCTCTGCAGAGGTGTTATTTATTTATCTGTTTCTCGATGTGTCCTCAGAGTCAAACGGCGATGGTTAAACATGCCACGCACTCAGTGGCTAGAAGAACTGAAATACGGGGACGGCATGTGCTGGCTTCTCTCATCTCCAGGACGGTTTCACACCCTTTGTCCTTATGTGACTTTGTTTCCCATATTCTTTGAAAACTACAGATGTTTTGTGCTTCCGTGTGTGTCTAGGACTTTCTTTTAAGGCAATGCACTCTACCCCAGGGTATAAATCTCTTCTGTGAGGTTTTCAGGCTGGACATGGCGGAGAATCTCTAAGAACACCGACTGTCTGTCTCCGGATGTAAGCTCTCGACCCCGAGAAGAGGCACTGACGGCTTTACACACACACCCTGCATGACCTTTGGCAAGTCAGTTAGTCCCTCTCAGCCTCATGACCCTCATCTGTAAAATGGGTCTGTTGCACAGACAAGCACACAGAGACACAGGAACTCACCACTGCGCTGCAGGAGGCCATCTCCTTGACCCGCAGCATGACCTCCTGGCTGAAGGTGGTTGGCCAGAAGACCTGGGACACAAGTCCCCTGCTGCACGCCTCCTGAGCAGTGAGCTTCCGCCCACAGAACAGCATCTCGTTGGCCTGTAAAAAGCAAAGGCAGGGGAAGGCTGAGGGCCCAGAGTGCCTCCTGCGTCTATTAGCGAGGCCTGGGCTTGACTTGTACCACTGTCCTGGTTCTCTAAGGCATGGCTATAAACTGGGGCGGGGGGGGGGGTCAGATAAGCTTTGGGAACTACCTGCAAACATCTGTGTCTGTGTGCATCTTTCTGAGCAGAGGGTCCACAGCTTTCCTCCAATTCCCAAAGGAAGCCGCATACTGACTATGGGTTCGTCTGCCCAACACCCCTCCCCACATCGGGCAGCAGGCCCACAGGAGTGAGCAAGCATCTCAGGCTGGGTACATTTCAGTGCTGACACCCCAGCCATGACGACTGGTCCACAGAGGAACAGATATGTGCCCTGTGTAACAAAGCTCTCCGCGAGGCTTCCCAGCTAGAGACGATGGGATTGCATGCGAAAGTCAAGGAGCCCATGGCCACCCACTGCTGTGTCCCCACTCTTTGGAGAGGTGAGACCACAAAGAAAGGAGGGCTGGAGAACAAGAGTCCTGACTGAGCTGGGATTCCTGGATCCCAGCAACCCCAAAGGCGGCTCCACTTCTGTATATGCAAGTTATGGCAATCACTGCATTCTTTTCTTCCTGTTTTAAGCCAGTTAAAAGTGTCTACATCACCGGCAGCCAGAAAGGTCCTAAATAATACCATCATACCAACGCAGAGGCACACATCTCTCCTGGTGACCCAGGGCTGTGCATACGTCTGCCCAGTTGGAAAGGGCAAAAAGCACCCTCCCCACCTGACCACCGCCCTCCCTGCCTTCTGTGGTTTCCTCCACACCCTACTCCCCAAAGAATTTCCTTTTGCTTTGTAGTTCACAGCTGTTATACGTGTTCTGGGAGGAGGCTGATGGATAAAGTCCTAGACACAGACAGCGCAATGCAGTCACCACTAAAACTTACCAAGTGACTCTCCGGCTGATAATTAGGGTATAATGGTCACCACCGTGTGATGGGGTCCCTATCTCCTTCAGGATAAACCCCCACATCCTTCACGCAGCAGACAACCCCTTCCCTGACCTGCCATCCATCTGCCTGCCCCTATATGCAGAGCCACTCTTGGATCAATGTGGAAACGCCAGGCTCTCTCGGCTGCTGGATCTCTGCGTGTGTTTTCCCCTTTGTTCTCGTTGTCACTGATGGGTCATGATGACCCAAAGGACAATCTTTCATGCCAGAGTAGAGAAATTTATCAGGCTGGTAATGAGCCAACAGCATGCATTTGGTTAGAGGTTTGAAGACAAATCTGTCATTATACTTATTTAGAAACACCTCTGTCTCGGGAACGAGAAATGAAAGGAAGGAACACTACAGAAGCAGCCAAACAGGACACGGTCGGCAAGAACATGTCTCAGTCAGCAACATTCTTGGAGTTTCAGAAATGATTGAAATAAAAGAGAGAGAGAAAGAGATAAGACGTACAATGTTCACATTTTTGCAACCACAAAGGACAGGGAGGAACGGGAGTGGTACTGACTTTGGGCAGAGCACGGTGGCCGAGATCAAAAGGGGAAGTGTTTGCTTCCCAGGCTCCCCACCCGCCTCATTTGTCTGCCATTGGTGAGACTGTGAGTGGCCTCAAGCAGCCCCAACCCCAAGTCCCTGAATCCGAATGGCCTCCCCGATCCCACCCGCTGGCCCAGCTGCATAGACAAGGTGGTGCTGGTGGGTGTGGGGCTGCTGGTGGTCTCCACCGATCTCGTATTTTCTTCCTGTTTCATGCTACCATCAAAGAGGGACAAGCCTACACTCAAGGGGTAAAATGGGGTTTCCCATCCTTCCAGACTCACTTGGGAGGTGCCCCCGCCGAGAGCTTTCTCTAAGCACCCCTGAACCTTATCACAGTCCAGCAGTACGGCCGCTGGTGTAATTTCCCCGCCTCCCCAGGTGGGAAGGCCAAGGTTTCAGGACCAGGGCAGAGGAAGGCACAGGCTGCAGGATCAGACACCCTTGCTCTGCCTTCTGCTTTGCTCTGGGACCCTATGCAAATCTCTTTGCCTCTCTGAGCCTGTTTATTCATCTCTAAAGTGGGTACCAGTTACCACTTGGGAGGATCCAATGAGATAATGAAAGAGCAGGGCAACACCACACCAGCCATGCATCCGTACCCACAGACGGGACTGTCAGGGATGGAGCCCCCCTGTTACTCATCTTTGTACTTCTAAGCAGGTAAGGCAATGCCTGGTGCCTACTGGAAGCTTACTGAGGTTTGTGGGCTCAAAGAAGGAGCCACACCTGCCAGAATTTCACCTCAACTCTCCATGCCTCAGTTTATCTGTAAAATGGAGAGCAGTAGGACCTACCTTTGCAGGTGCTCAGAAGAGTGAATGAGACCATCCCGTGGGAAGAGCCCAGTAAAGTGGCCGGCAAGTAGGAGGTGATTAGTGCAAACTTAGAGAATCTCGCTGGGACAACCTGCTCAGTCCTTGGTCATCAGAATGCCCATGTGGTTTTAGTGTGTAATGCAACACAGGGGACATATTTTTCAGAATGGAAATCTCAAAGAGACAGCAGGGAGTGTCAAAATGATCGGGCATCCCTGTGCAGAATCCCAGTACCAGTAACACTTTAGTGAGGACCCAGAAAGCCCCGGGTGAAGCTGACACCTGAGGGTTTCACCCACACACCTCAGCCTGGGGTGCGGAGAGGGAGACTCTCAGGAATCCTAAGGGTGGAAGAGACACTAAACTCAGTCTGCTGGGTCAGGGAAGCAGGTGGTGAGTATGCTGAGCCCACAGGCCTTTGCAGTCACCTGGGAGTTATCTTTTGGAGTTGGGGTATGTGAACATCAAGGCCAGAGACCAAACAGGAAATGGAACAAGAAGGGCTGGGTCATTAAAACACTCTGAGCTTTGCCAAAGACCTCAAACTCAAACCAGAAGACCCATCAAAGGCTTTGTAAGAGACAAACAGATAAATTATTGGAGGACCAAGGAGAAGTCAGGAATGGCGAAGATGGAGGAAAGTGTTTCCAGGAGCATCTGTTACAGCAGAGCAAGCAAACAGTGTTAGAGCTGACCACGGGCCCACTGGGTTCAACAAACAGGAGGTCACAGGTGTCCCTTGCAATGGAATGTGGCAGGTTTCTTCTTCAATATTAGAATGACTATACCCACACATGTGGGTGCTGGGACTTTCTAGAGCTGGTCTGGAGGACGCACCAGATCTGCTTACTCCCCTTCTAGAGGGACAAGCTGTTACAAGGAGATGCAAATTGATTTCAGACAGTACTGTCTTTCAGAGACCCCTAATTTCAGACTCATTCCTTGGATGTGGGTCCTACTTTATGATCTGCTGGTTAAGAGCACAGACTTTGAAACCCCATAATCTGTGTTCCGATCCCACGACTGCCACTCCCACTGTGTAACCCTGGACAACTCACCCTCTCTGAGCCTCAGGCTCCAATGTGTCAAGCGGGGATAACGACCGTCCTCCCTTACCGGGTTGTAGGAGGATGCACTGAGTTAGCAGCTCTCAAGCGCCGGCCACGGTGTGTGCCTTCTAAGTGGCCCTGACCACACTTGCCTCTGGCTGCTGGTGCAGGACTGACTGCAGCCCACGGTGGACTCCACCACTCGCTCAACACCACTCTGACGGTGACACGTGACACGGCGAGTTCCTTACCTTCTCCAGTTAAGCTTGCCCACTGTGTGATGGAGACCATAACGCAGGTTCTCCAGGTGGGACTGCCTGTGATTATCAAATCCCTTCCTGCTTCTGGGACATGTGGCAAGACTACATTTCCCAGCCTCCCTTGCAGGTAGGTGTGGCCATACCACCGAATCCTGGCCCAAGAAATGTGAGCGGAAGTGAAGAAGCCCCTTGTAGGCCTGGCCCAGGAAAACCTCCAGGCTCTCTCTTCACGTCCACCGGCTGAAAGCGAAGGTAGGTCTACCAGATGGAAGATGCCTGGGCCCCCAGTCAGTGTGGACAGCTACATCTACACTGGACTGTGGCAAGAATGAGAAAGAAATTTTTGCTGTTTGGACCCTAGAACTGTGGGATTGTTACAGCACACAGTCCCTTCTAATACATGGTCTTATCAGGTTGTTGTGAAGAATAAATGAGATAATGTAGGCAAAGTGCTAAGGTAAGCAACCTGAACTTAGTGTAGTTAGCTTAAACTATTATGTGCTTTAACTAGTTAAGTGCTTAAGTAAGTGAACTAACTGAATTAAGTTAACTTAGGTGAACAAAGTACACCTTTGATAAATGAACGTCCCCATCGACCTCTCGACCCTTGGCCACACCTGCCACTGGCATCTGGCACCAGTGGTTCAAGGCTCCAAGATCAGCCTGACCTCAACCCAGCTCCCCTGCGGAAGGCAGAGGAAGCAGAGATACTCAGCAGATTCCACAGGGCGGGTGCACCCCTGGGCTCCTTACTCATCTGAAGGGCCATATCCTAAATCCAGGACAGAGAAGGGGTCTTGTTGGGACCCAAAGCCACGTATCCCAGAGAGAGATCCTGCCCGAGGAACGAGGGGGCTTACCAGTGCGACGCCCAGGATCTGGGGGAAGGTATATGAGGAGCAGCCAGCAGGTGTGAGGCGGATGGTGGCATAGGGGGTCTGAAACCAGGCCTTCTCGCTGGCCCACACAATGTCGCAGAGGGGCAAGATGGAGGCACCCAGGCCCAGGGCAGGCCCATTGATCGCAACCACGATAGGCTTCTTAAACTGGATAAAGGCCTTCACAAAGTCCCTGGGAGAAAAGAGAAGACCCTCTTTAACAGATGGGTAGGCCTGCCGAGACCTATTCGACACCCTTTAACCTGCCGAGGCTGAAATAAGTTTTCCTGGTGCTGTGAAGCACCCTCAGGTGGTCAGAGGGAACCGGATGCCAGGCAAGCATCTCATTCTCCTGAACACCGAGCCCACTGAGCTGCAGCCACAGACCTGGCACACTCGGTGGTCAGTGGCACACTTTCCGAAAGAGATGTGTGGGGTGACCACATGTCCCACTTTTCCCAGAGGGTCCAGAGTCATGCCCATTGTCCCAGCACTGCACCCAGTTAGCACTCCCTGGATATTGACAAATTTTAAATATCCTAAGGAAGACAACCTGAACATCAAGGTCTAGAACCAGAAAGAGAACCAAAAGGAGGGCATTACAAGGAGGCATATTTGAATGCAAGGAGAGAAAGAATGTTCTAACAGCACTGGCTGAAGGTGGAATGGCTGGCATTTGGAGGTATGAACATCTCATTACTGGAGGTATTCCAATTTTGGCTGGATGACCACTTTGGGCGATGCTGTAAAAGGAATTCAAGCTTCAGAGGGTGGGCACAGGTGATATTTAACTTTTTTTTTAATCCTACGATTGTTTGATTCTGAATCACCCAAAGGGACACCAGACTAGTTAAGGGTGGTTCTAGAATGCTGACAAGGATCCATATATTGTGGTGGCTTCGACCAAAACTGGGGAAGGACACTGAGCTCCCCTGGAGGTGTGAGGCATCTGGGGTCATGGCTCTGCAATTAGTAGACATTTTATCCCCCTCCCCTTCCTCATCGACCAAAGTTCAGAGTGCATCTGTACCTATTAAGCAGAGTCATCTCTACTTTCTTTGCCCTAGAATGCTTTTTGCCTCTCCCATAGCTGCTATCTAAGATCCATAAAATGTTAATACTCATCTGGACATGGAGGAAAGATCCAAGATGTCTAGTAAAGCCTGCATCCTTCATTATTCTCAGGTGGAAGACTGGAAACTACCAAGAACTCACAAGAATAAAATCCATACTCCTGACCGTGACCTTGGTCTGCTTCTGCTTACTCCCCCAGGCTCATCTCTTGTCTCCCTCAAGCCTGCTCACAATGCATGAGCTGCACGGGCCTTCTGAGAGTTCTCGGAAAACACCAGTATCACAATGTGCAATTATCCTAATTATTTGCTTGCTTACTTGTTTTTGGATTTTCCTCCCTCTTCAGCTCCTTGTGGAAACCTGCAGGTCTGCCTCGTGCATGGCTTGGTGTCCATACCTACTGGAGTTCACCCTCAGTAACTGCCGGATAGATAAAGGAGTCTTCCAGAACGAGAGTGAAAACTGCAGATGTGCGGCAGGAATGCACTCGCCGCTTGCCACACCCACTTTCCCTTCACTCCTCTTCCTGAGTCTGCTGTTGGAGCACATTTCTCCACCTCCCTCACAGTTGGCTGTGGCCAAGTAACCGAACGCTGGCTGATGGAATGTGAGTGGAAACCTAAGCCCACTTCCAGGCCCGAACACGGAAACCTCCCACCGTGCAGCCTGCAAACGCTTTCACCTTGAAGAGCACGGCCATCTTGGAGGGCTTGTGTGCTGAGCCACAAGACGGAAGGAGTCTGGGTTCTTGAGTCACACTTGGAGGACAGCCACGGGCTGATCAATAGCATCCGTTTTAGGTTCCCAAATATAAGAAGTAAATTTCTATCACAACTGAGCCATTATACATATTTGGGGTTCATTCATTACAGCAGCTAGTACTTCACTAATACAAACGTCTGGCTGATTTATGCCTTCACGGCTGCTACCATTTCCCTGCAATCCTTACCAAAACATGTTGGCATCACGGTGATACGCTGGGATCGGATTCCACTGTGAGAAGCCTGGGGTGGGGGGTGTCTCACGACCTGAATGTTGTCATGTAAGTACGCACCCTTGCCCAGGCTCGACACAGCCCGTCTCCTGACTCCCGTGCAGTGGTTTGTGACTAGAAGGCAGAGCTCTCCCAGCCACTGCTGACCCCCCAAAAGGACACTGCTGCACTCTGGCACCATAGCCCTCTGATTCCTGGTTTTCCAGTGGCCCATTTCCTGGTCTGACTTCCTAACTTCATGGCCTCAGTCACTGGCTTTAACATGTGCTTTTTAACCAAATGCAATTTGGAGCCTGCACCGTAGGTGGGGCTTCTTGGCAGGATCCTTGGAACCACAGGGTCTGATGTGGGACCAACATTCCACATCTAAACCCCTTCATACAATTCCAGGACCTTGAATCTCCAAGTTGGAAAGGAATTCAGGAGCCATTAAGCCAAATCTTCCACTCAGTGCCGGATTCCCTCCCTAGCATTGTAAGGATACGCCATCATCCAGCCATTGTGGAATACTTTCAGTAAAGAGGGTCCTTTCTATCAAGACGCCTCCCCACTGTGGACCTCAGGAGGGCCTCTCTGACACTCCCACTCTGCTCCAACCTCCACACAGCAGCACTTGAGGAATTCACCTCCACCCTCATGACCTTATGGGAGCATACCGTTCCAGGGCCCAGAGCCTTCCCTCTTCGGTCTCCAACCTGAGCCCTGTGCAGAGGGGTCACACATCCCAAGGGGGGCTGAGGGGACCGAGTGCGCCCAGCTGTGCCCCTGCACCCCCACGCCATCCTGTTTCAGTCCATGCTGCCTTGTGGGCTCAAGTCCTGGATACGAAAATGCAATGCACAGACCACTCTCCCCATCCTCTTCCTCTCAAGCAGAAGATCTCCATCACAAGGGCCCAGCGGACACAGAAGCCCGACAGCAAACAGGATATTGCATTACAGATGCTGCCGTTCAGATATCTGATCCTGACTCGGGCAGCAGGACGGTGCAGGGGAGATGGCTTGCCATCTTCTTCAGCATCAAAGTCCATCAGTCATGCTGACTCCAGCCCCCACAGCTTCCTCCACTCAGCCTAGCCCTGTGCTCTCTGCCTGCCTGAGTGTTGGGCTGCTCCAATGTGGCAGAAGGAGCAAGAACTTTGGGGTCAAGTCTCCACTCTGTCGTCCCTAACTAGTACTGAGATCTTGGACAAGTTACTCACTCTCTGGAATCCCATTTTCCTCCCTGTCAAGTGGGAAAGCCAACGGTTTGTCCCCGTAGGGCTGTATGGGAATTGAAGGAGACAGTGCCTGGCCCACAGGAGCCTTGGGCCACGGCTGCTTATAGTACTATAGTCAGTGTACCTGTTGGGTGGGGGGGGCGGCTGCTCTCTCCATTCTCAGTGGCTGGTGATCCGCCCTCCAGGCCCAGAAGACACTCTGAAGCAATGACCTGCATACAAATGCCACCTGGGGCCACTGGCCTTTCCTGTGTGACCTGGCTACCTAGTCCTTCCCTTTAACCAGAGCGCCGGGGTATAGCTCTGCCACTGCCAAAGTTCAGAGCCAAGTCAGCCAGTACGAGACCTCTGAGCACCAGATACACATGGTGATGGTCATCCTGGAGCCATCAGATGGGGGCTCTTAAAGCCCACTCCACAGTCAGAGCAGGCTTAGCTAGAGCTTGTGGCCGGACATAACAGTACTAGCAATGAAAATAATTCCTTACCCCTGTCCTGAGGACTAACTATGTGCTGGGTCCATCCAAGTTTTTCACACAGGTTATCTGATTAATCTTCATCGGCAGACCATGCCATCACCTGTGAGGAGTTCAGGTGAGGGCAGCCTCTCTTTCAGGATGGGGCTGACAGCTCTGTTTGGGTCCTGGACAGAACCCTGTGCTAAATGAATCATCTGAGCTCTTCTCACATCTGCTAGTTCATTCAACAAACATCTGCAGAGTGAACACGGCATACTGGGTCACGTGTGCGCATGTTTTCTCTAGGAAACGATGAGGTTGGGGCAGGAGCAGTGCTGGGGGTGCTGCTGCCGTGCAGCATGCCCAGATCCTGAAGGTCAGCCCAGCAAGAGCATGCATGTCCCCAGAGAACTGCAAGGGCTGTCTGTAGGTTATAAGGTTCTGTGGCCAAAGTATGTTTCAGCCATGCTAGACTTTGAACAAAGTTCTTTCACAAGAGACTTCTCAGACTGCAAATATGTTCCTATGCCTGGAAAATCCGCAGAAGCAGGGACAGAACTTGCAGCATAGCCCAAAGTAATTTATGGACAGTGCCCTTCACTCATGATACTTCTCTGGAAATCTGCAGAACATTCTCTGGGAAATGCTTCTCTGCCACCTTGCATCCCAAACTCTGGAGCATGGCTGCCGGAGGAAGCACTCCAAATTTGGTGGAGCTGGAGCCTCCCCTAGGACTTGGTGATGATGGGCAAGGTGTGTTTTCTGACCCCGTGGGCACTCTTCGCTATGAGGGCCATACTGTACACAACCCCATCCAACCTCGTGAAGCTGCTCATCCACCCTTGGTCCTTTCAAAACCAAAGACGAGCTGGTCGCACCCCACACTCCCTGATTCGGTGTCTTCTGGGGTTGTCAAGCAGCTGGGTTTTAGAAAAGCTCCCTGTGGATTCTCTGTGCTGTTCGGGCTGTGAACCGCTGGTCTGGGGGCATCCCCCATTCCCTCTCCCGGTGTTGCTACAGGCTCACAAATTAGGAACTTCCACTCCCTTTGAGCATTGGGAAGAATTCCCTCAGCTACAACCTCCTCTACTCTGCCTAAGAAAAACTCACCTTCCTGATGAGATAGCAAATGTCTTAAATCCCACTGACTGTGTTTCTCAAGACATAAGCTAATGCATTCAGCATCTCCTCAAATCTGGGACTCCTGGAAATCCAGCTAATGCCTCCGCTGAAGTTCGTAAACCACATGATGGCGGTGGCCGAGGCTTTTCTCAGGCCCCAGAGATGAGCACCCCATCTCTGATGGTCCCACAAATTAAGGAAGCTTACAGGGGGACCCTGTTGCCCCCCTCACCGTGTGATGAGGCAGCTATTAAAAGGGACGGCTGAGTCTGAGCAGAGCGTAAACTGCTGAGGATACAGCCAGGGCTGTCTGTGGCCAGGAAGCTTAGGAGCAGCATGCAACCACGATGCCCTTTCCAATAACAGCATGCAGCCTTTTTGTGTCTCTTCGGGCAAGAATTCTGCAACGGGAAGCATGCATGTGTTTTGGAGCATACTTCACTGGATGCTTCACCCTGAAGAGGGGGCTTGGAACCCCACCTGTGACAGCATCCCTACGTCATCTCTTGGAGACCGCATCCCGTGGAAGGCTCCCACAGCCACATGACAATCAGCATCACGTGACGCTGCCAGGCACAGTGAGATTGGAGGCCCAGCAAACCCCTCCCATGAGGCCTGAGGCTCCATGACCCCACATGGAGAAGTATTCCTTTCCCAGAGACCAGGTGGCATTACCACAATGTGACTCTTGTCGGAGCTTGGGGCAAGGTGCGACAGCAAGCCTGAGCCCTTCCCAGGGCGGAGGCTGAGTGACAGCCCTTGTTGGAAATAATACTTACTTGCTTTTGATAAATCTAGGAGTAATGGGGAAATAACTACCCTTCAGGGTCCTGAAAAAGATACCAGTTGTCGGGATTGTTGGGATGTCAGCCCCAGGATCCCAACTTTTGTCCCAAAGGCAACAAGAGAGGGGGAAGCACCCCTCACCCCACTGGGTCTGCAAATGCACAGCTGCCCGGGGTACCCCTTCCATCCTCTCCCCAGTGCTGGGCCATGTCAGCTTCGGGACACAGGAACACCCAGAAAATTGACAATTTCACCATCGGGCAGAGGGCGGGAGTAGCATGGATAACACCTGGGCATTACCAGATGCTGGGCTTAATATAAAGAAATAAAATCTCTTTTTGATCAAAAAAAAAAAATAACCTAGAGAACAAAGGCACCCCTAATTTTGGCAGAAAAATACAGGATGCCCAATTAAAATCCCAATTTCAGATTTAAAAAAATAAGCTAGAGAACAAAGGCACCCCTAATTTTGGCAGAAAAATACAGGATGCCCAATTAAAATCCCAATTTCAGATAAACAACAAATAATTTTTTTAGTGTAAGTATATCCCAAATATTGCATGGGATAGACTTATGATTAAAAAAATGTTGTTTGAAATTCAAATTTAACTGAGCAGCCTGCATTTTTATGTGCTACATGTGACAAGAACAAGGCAGGTCCCAGAGTGTCCAAACATGAGCAGAGCTCACCTGATGGCTTCTGCAATCCGGGTACTCTCCTTTCTCCGGTCACTGGACAACCGGCCAATTAGGTAGGAGTAATCTAGGCCGCTGCAGAATACGCTGCCCACTGCACTGAGAAGCAGCAGTTTGCTGTCATCCGTGGCCGCGTTGCACAGCGCTCGCCGGACCTCCTTCATAATCTGCAGGCAGAGATGGATTGGCGGGGATGTTAAGTGTCTGCCTATACGCCACAGGCTTTCAGACCTCAAGCCCGCCAGAGGCCTCACCCTTGAGGACAGAGGTGAGTACATCTTCTCTTCCTGTGTAGGAAGACTCTCCCGAATTCAAGCCACATCCAGACTAAGCAAAGAAACACCAAAACCAGAGCTCCTCTGCAGCATCCCCAAAGCAGGCAGAGTGCTAAGAAGGTGGCAGTGGGGTCACTGGCCTCAGACTCGGAAGTCTGGCTTGGAGCCGTGTAATCCCTGGTAAATCTCTGCAAATCTTCTTCCAGCATTAGCCCTTTTCAAGGTGTGGGAAAAAAAATTCCTGTGCACAGCCCAGGTGAGGTATGTTAGCCTTTTCTAGAAGGCTAGGTTTAATTATACTCTTGCTCATCCTTAATTCAACTAAGACTTTTGATTGGCTCATAGGTAGCACGTGGGAAGTGGGCTTTGGCATCAGAACTCATAAAATTTTCAAGGTGCCACAGAAGACAACCATCAGACACAGATTCTGTATCCAGCTAAACTATCATCCAAAAGCAAGGGCAAGGGTAAAAATGAGGCATTTTCAGCAAAAGAATGTTTACCACTCTTAGACCCTCGCTGAGAGAATTTAAAAAGGATGCACTTCAGAAAGAAGAAAACTATATTCAGAAAAACAGACATGCAAGGAATAACAGCCAACAAATAAACGTGGTGAATGTGCTGATAAATCAATATAAGAATGACTAGAAAATCATCAGACAGATATTGACCAACTGAGGCTAAGGGTTTGCACAAAGGTAGAACTGGGGTCCAGGTGGTAATAGCGCATCAGATGAGAGAAGGAATGATGACCACATGCCGGGGTCCTAGGTCTGGGCGTGGTGGAGAGGTGAGGGTGATGTTTAGGCTTCACTATGTGTACAGAACTTAAGGATAACTTCTTAAAAGTACATGGATTACAATGAATGGGGAGGGGGTTAAAATAAAGAAAGCTCAATCAGTCCAACTGAAGTGACAGGAGGATGGAAAAATAAGTGAGTAAGTGCAAAAAAGGCATGGTAAGAGAAAACAAGGCATGCACTTGCCTGGGTGGAGCTGAGAGTCCAACTGGGGAGACAATAAGTGAATAGGCTTTTAAGGGATCGTTATTAGTTTTTCAATAGGCATAATCATAGGGTACAATGGGAAACTATTATGGGAGCTGTGTTTTTAAAATTATACTCTTTAAAGAACCCATTTATTAAGCACTTGGAGGTGCCAGGGATTGCAACAGGTAATTTCCACATATTTTACTCTGAACGAAAATCCCATCTAGGAGGGAATGGTATCCCCATCTTGCAGGTAAAGCAAGGGAGACTCAGAGAAGTGGTGTGAAGCTGCCCGAGGTCAGCAGCAAGAGGCAGAACCATGATACGAATCTCACCCCCAAATCCCTTCTCTTTCTACCACTCCATATTGTAGGATGACTTAAAAAAATGGGTGAAAAAAAATAGGGCTGGATGTCAGTTCGAATGGAGAATCTCTCAGCCTGTGTTCTGTGAGGATGGGAGAGGCACTTTCCATTCTAACAGGGTATGAGCCACAGATTCATTTTGAACATCAAAAAAGCGAAGAGGCCACTATCTTGTGGGTCCTTTAATCCATCCGCCTCCAGAAATAGACACACTCTGAACAATCCACGAACTCTATTTCTCTGAGAGGCAAATAAAAGAAAACCCCGCTGTAAAGACGTGAGCTGCCATTCCGCACACGACTCAGAGAGTGGCCTCTCTCTCTGAGGCCAGATTTACTTGTCAATTAGTAAAGACAAAATCAAACAAAACAGGCACCTCCTTTATGAGTTAAATGGAAAATAAATTTGTGTTTCATTCATGTGACAAAAGTACAAACTATATGTATTTTTTTAATTTAAAGAATGTTATATCTAGTTAGTATAGCTTTCTTTTGCCTTTCTCGTGTCGATAACCCAATTTGGACTGATGGCTGAGGTTCCACCTCCTTGAAGGACCCCAAATTGTATAACGTACCTGCTTTGTTCAAAGTAAAACATTCTAAAATGATTACTCCCTTGCTTCCTTAAATTCCTCTGCTGCACCCACATGGTCACTCGCTAGGCTGTAACCGACCAGTGCCCTCAGAGGCTCCTGGGGAATGCCTCTGTACCAAACAGAGGTTTGGTCCAAGACTGCTATGCATTTTGAAGCCCTAAATATGTTCTTGAGATTTATTGCCCTTGTTATACCCTTGCTAGCTGTCACTTACTCCAGATGTCAGTATCCGCCAGAGAAAGCACACGCCCCTGCTACTTCTAACCTTCTGATCTGCCATGGGCTGGAACCAGATAACCAAATTCATTAGAAGTAGGTTGAAAGGGGGAGCAGACCACAGTCCCTCTCTCTACTTCATCTTTACTTGCTGAAATCAGCCACCCAGGGCCCATCTCACCTGTGACCACCTTCCTGAACGCTTCCCCAAATATCCCTGACTAAATGCAAACTCTTCGTTCTCCCAACACCCCACGTGTCCCTCTGTGACCCTTGTGACAAGCCCCCTTGTAAAATGTGAGCGTCCTTGCCTCACCCTACCTCCTGCTTGACGATGATCCCCTCGATGGGAGTCATACTGTTGTGGAACCCCTCCCCGTGAGTGTAGACCGGATCTAACGGCTCATGCCTAACCACAAGGTACAAGAATGACAGGATGTCCCGTTCAAGAGGAGACTGGGATACAAGAAGACACAGCTTGTCTTGGCTGTCCTCTTTTGCTCTCCCTCCTCCTTGGAGCTCTCAGTCTGGGGAAGCAGACCATGTCATGAGGAGCCCATATGGAGTAGCCATAAAGAGGAGACTGATGGCTCTGGCCAGCAAGGACCTGCCAGCAGCCACTTGGGTGAGCTTGGAATTGGATCCTCTTCCACGCCTTCAGCAGAGACCACAGCCCCAGGCAACATGCCTTGACTCCAGGCTTTGAGAGACCCCGAGCCAGAAGCATCCAACTAAGCCATGCCAGGATTCCTGACCCAGAGAAACTGAGATAATGTTCATTGTTTTAAGATGCTAAGTTTAGGGGAATTTGTTATGTAGGAATACATAACTAATACAATTCCTTAAAAGCTAAAACAGATGAGACTTCTACTTATCTGTATAACCCTTGTAACACCTAGTCCAGAACCTCACACATAAAAAAATTTAATAAATGTTTATTGATTTGAATGAGTGGCATAATATTTACCTCTTCAAGAAGCTTACAGTGTAATGGGGGGGGAACCAGATATTTAACAAATTATCACACAAATGCATGTACATTAACAACAGTAACAAGTTCCAGAAGGGAGGGGCGCCTAGTGCTGGGAAAGCTCCTGAGAGGGGCATGTCACCTGGGCAGGGATCTGGGGGGTGGGGACGGATCCCATGGAAGTGGTGGTTGAGCTGAAACCTGAATGAAGTGCAAGGCCACTAGGCAAGGATGTTTCAGTCAGAAGTACAGGTATATGCAAAGGCCCTGGGGGCAGGTGTGATCATGAAAGAAAGCCAGGCTAACTGGAGCGCAGGAGAAGAGAAGGGGGATGTGTGGTACGAGGCAAGGAGGCTAGCACAGGTGGGCAGGTCAGAACATACCAGCCTCGCAGGCCACATGAACAGTTGTGATTCTTAATCAGAGCAACTAGGAATCACTGAGGTGTCTGAAGTATGTGCACACACGTGTGCGTGCGTGCATGTGCGTGTGTGTGTGTAGAAGGGGCGACTTGATCAGATTTGCATTCCTGGCAGACCACTGTGCCCACATTGAGGGGAATGGATTATAGGGTAGGAAAGATGAAAGAGCGTGCTTGTTAGCAGGTTATTACAACAATCCGGACAGAATATAATGGTCCTGATGGAAATAGAGAGAAGAAAGCCTATTAGTGGGCTATTCAAAGATGAAAGTTAATAGGCCTCAGGGGTGTATGGATGTGGTGGGTAGATCAAGACGGTATGAGGTGTGACTCCCACATGTCCGGTGTGCTCCCTCGGTGCAGTTCGCTGAGGCTGGGAGCACTGCAGAAAACCGAGAGTTGAGAGAGGGCTTGGCGTCTTCAATGGGGAAGTGGATGGGCTTTTAATCACCAACACTTTGGGCAATCTATTTTGCTCGTTCTTTCCTAAAGGGGCATTTTCATTATTTTCCTGGTTCTGTGCTATATTCCAGACAGGAGCAATATTACCACATACCCGCTGGCCTCAGAATCTAGTTAACACACTCAGTAATGTATGAATTTCTGCCCATGAGGCCAAGCCAACCAATGTCCCATATACAACTAGAAAAAGAAATTCAATTATGACATGCAGGGTGGCCTCGTCCCAGTTGCTCCATGAGTAAGTAAGGCTGGGCCTGCTGGAGGCTGTTAAATCACCTCTGTTTCCATCTTAATAATGATGGGAACACTTACTGAACACTTCCTATGTGCCAGGCATTCTGTGAGCCTCTCTGCAGACATAATTTCTAATCCCACAAGCAAGATACACTATAACTTCTACAAATGAGGAAGCTCAAAGAGGCAAGGTGACTCCCCAAGGCGAGCTGGTGGAGGCAGGATTGGAACCTAGTCCACCAGACTCCAAAATCTATATTCCTCTGCTAACACCACCTCTCCTTTTCACTGAGATCTTTCTTTCAGGGCTACTTTACCCAGTTGGCCAGCTTATCTACAGAGTCAATCCACTTTGGTTGTCGAGATGGCTGAAAACACCAGATCAATATTTTTTCTCCATTTTCCTCCCATTCTGTTACTGACAGACACCAATTAGGAAAGGAACCCCTAAATCACCAAACCTCCATCTCAGGAATTGGAAGCCACACACGTTCCATGGTGAGTAGGCAATGGTTAACGCATAAAGCTACTCCAAAGAGACAGGATGAACTGGGAGACCCCATATTGATTCAATTTATTGAAGGAAAATGCTGTGCCTTTTAAAACCATGCTTTCAAAAAGTAGTGAAGGAGAAAAAACTCCGAGAAGAGTTGGTCTCGTACAGATGTTTCACACTGAGCTTAAAATAACAAAGCTTCCAGGTGTATAAACGTGTGAAGGGCAGCCTCTGGGGTAAACCTTGATGGTTTACACCACTTTCTGAAGGTGTAAGAGAGAGACCCCAAAAGACCATGCTTAGAGGAGGGGCAGCAAGTGACCAGCAGCCCCACAAACTGCAAAGGTTTTAGCTACATCTCTTGCCTTAAGGCAATCATAGTCCTGACTATCACACACACAGTCCCTTGAAGGAACTATAGTTTATGTAAATCATAATGATAAGACATGTGATTACGAGTTCAAGGACACAGCACCTCCCGCCCCATCCCACTTGCTGGGCCTCCCCAAGTATACCGGATACACTGGGCAATGCCAGACCGCCCTGCCGAGCCCAGTCTGGGCAGATGGCCACTCCTTGACTGTGTCCCTGTGGTTAACACACCTCTGTGGTTAAGCCTCTGTGTCTTCACTACTACTGTGGAATCAGTACAGGATATCACAGGACAGGGAAAGGGAGGTGGGGACTTTGCTGTCTTCCACGGGCCAGGTGCTGGGCTGAGTGTGAGAAACAATATGGTGGGCACGGGTGGTAAGGGTCCTGCCCCCTTAAGCTGACGGGACCCTAGGCCTAAGTTCTCTAAACCTGCATTGTCTCATCTGTAAGAGGTGGATCAGGAGAACCCTACATCAGAAGGGTCCTGGGAGAAGGAAATGGGATAAGCGGCAAATTCAAAAGACAAAGAGCCGCTGGTAGCTGGCGTGGTCAAGGTTTTTGTCATTGACCCCTCTGCTGCCTTGTGGCAGTTCGGTCTAGTTGGGGAGGACTTCTTGGATGAGTCTTTTCCCACATTTGCACCATCAAGAATCTCTTAAAAAACATTAATCATTTCTTCATTGCTCCCACTCAGTACCCCAGATCTTAAACAGTGCTATCGATGTAATGGCATTAAATATCCATTGTCTCCCCATTCTGTCCACCTAAAATATAAGCATGATTAGCATTAAAAAGGTAAGGTGGAAAAAACAGGTAAAAGGGACTTCATCAAAATTTTAAACATCGTACATCCAAGGACGCCATCGAGAAAGTAACAAGCCCCAGAATGAGAGCGTATTTTCAGATCATATGTCTGACAAAGAAGTCTTAAAACTCAACAGTCAAAAACAATTTAAGGAATAGGCAAAAGATGTGAATAGACATTTCTCCAAAGAAGACAGACAGACAGACAGCCAATAAGCTCACGAAAAGATGCCCAATATCATTAGTCATCAGGAAAATGCACATCAAAACCTCAGTGAGATGCCACCTCACACCCACTCCAACAGCCAAATAACAAGAACAGATAATAACAAGTGTCAACAAGGATGCGGAGACACCAGAGCTCTTGGCCAGTGGGAATGGAAAATGGCACAGCCACCGTGAAAAACAGGCCGGCAGTTCCTCAAAAAGTTAAATACGGAGTTACCATATGACCCAGCAGTTCCGCACAAGAGGAACATAGCCAAGAGCACTGAAAACACGTTCACACGCAAACTCGTACACAAACGTTCGCAGCGATACTCATCATAACACAGTAGTCAAAAATGGAACCAATACAAATGCCCATCACTGTCCATCAGTCGACGGACAAAATGTGGCATATCCATACAAGGGAAGGAAGGAAGCACAGACGTGCGCTACCCCATGGATGAACCTTGAAAACACCATGCTCGGTGGAAGGAGCCAGTCACAGATCACATATAATACACTTCCATTTACATGAAATGTCCAGAATAGGCAAATCTGTAGAGACAGAAAGTAGATCCGTGGTTGCCGGGGACCATGTGAGGGAAAATGGGGAGGGGATGGCAGTGGGCATGGGGTTTCCTTTGGGGGTGATGGAAATGTGCTGGAACTAGATCATGGTGATGGTTACATGACCTTGAGAATATACTTAAAAAGTGTACATGTTAAAAGGGTGAAATTTATGGTATGTGAATTCTATCTCAATTGAAAAAAAAATAAGTGAGCTGAGTGAATAGGATTCCTTCCAAAGCAAGGAAATTTGACACACTTGAAAAAGCCCAAGATATGGTGTTTAGAGTCGGGGGCTGCCCTCTGACTAAATCTGGGACCCAGATTGGTTTTCCGAAACTCTCCATTTACTGGGGTCTTCATCTGTAAAATGGGATCGTATTATTACTTGGTCATAAAGATCAAATGGATAATGTATGCAAAGTGATTAGCACATGGTGTCCCACAGTCAAGTTTGCATGTGTGTTGGCTATAGTCACTGGCTCCCTGATGGAACAAAGAGAGAGCCAGTGCCCCATTCTGAATGAGAAGCCCTCTCCAGCCTGACCCTCCCCTCAGGTCCCCTGTCTCTCACCTCGGGGGTCAGTGCGTTGTTGTCCGAGGTCTGGCTGGACAGCAGGATGTGTGTGAACCCCTCTTCCTTCCGCACGACAATGTCCCGAAACCTACAGTTGCTTTCGTTCTGGCGGACGCTGTACCTGAGCCTCTTGTCAAAGACATAGTCCTTCTCTGCTTCCAGCTTCCTCTTCACGGGGCTGTGCAGGTTTAATCCCCCGTTGGTCAGAGCAGAGCCTTCCAAAATCAGATAACCAAAGTGAGAAACTGACATAGGAACAACCACACGAGAGGGTGATCACAGAACGTTCAGGCTGGATGTGGCTGGGACCTCCATGCACCCTCTGTTCTTGGGTGGAGAAGGGCCCAGGGCTTAACTGCTTCATCTCCAAATGTGAACCAGGACAGAGAGCGCTCTCTGTGGAGGGCCCCAAGGGATGACCCTTGATCCCCCTCCCACACATCTACCATGAGCCTCTGCCTCTGCTCATGCGCCTTCAGTAGCAAGGAACCCACTACTTTGAAAACTGATAGCCACAAAACAAAACAAACAGACCAACCAAAACACTGCAGCTTTATTCATAATCACCAAAAACTGGAAGTAACCAATATGTCTTTCACTAGGTGAATGAATAAACAAACTGGTACATTCGTAGTGTGGAATATTATTCAGCCATAAAAAGAAATTTGTTATCAAGCTGTGAACATACACAAATGAATCCTGGATGCTATTTCTAAGTGAAAGAGGCCAGTGTGAAGGGCTATGCCTGGCACAATTCCCACTACACAGAATCAGCCAAACGATCAGTGGTTTCCAGGGATCAGGTAGAAGAGAAGATGGAACAGGGAAAACACGGGGGATTCTGAGGGCGGTGAAACGACAATGATGAATGTGGGACATTAAACCTTTGTCAAAACCCAAAGAACTTTGCCGCACAGACAGTGAAGCTTAAAGGATGCAAATTAAAAAAAATAAATTTACAAGACTGGGGGAATCCAAGGATGGCATGCAGCATGTGATCAAAGAATCGAACCGTATGACCAATGTGTGAACCACCTCACCGAACGGGGGCGGGAGGCCCTCGGCACCTCAGAAACCCTAGGAATGACTGGAGTCTGCAAAACTAAAGGCAAGATAGCCCATAGAGAAAGCTTGTCCTCCAGCTGGCGAAGCCCATTCCCGTGGAGGTGGATGAGAGTTCAGATTCTGATACCATTATCCACGTGTGCTGGAACTGAACGGTTAAATGAATGGATGGCAGATGGTAGGAGCAACGCTTCTCACAGTTGGAGTGGGAGTTTACAGATCAGCAAGGGGAGGGGGCTAGAAGGATCCATGTGGCTGTGGGTTCAGAGTGGAAGACATCAGGATGAACTCATGTTTAGCTTAACACAGATACAGAGAGTTACATGCGGACATAGTTACAGGTACGTGTGCGTACACAGGGCACTATACACATGTGTATTTCCTCCAACTGTCAGCTGAGAGGGCCCAGAACCATCGACACCCCAATAGCAGTGAGCATACCAAGGGCCCAGATGTCGGTTTCGGATACAATTCCCAGTAAAAGGAACCAGGACTCCCTGAAGAAATGGCAGATTCCAGGCCTGGGGCAGGAAACACACAAGATAAGCTTGTAGTGGTGGGAAGGAAGGAAGTAGTAAAAAAATAAAAAATAATAATCTCTGCAGTGAAGAGACATGTCAAAAGGACAGAGGAGCCAACTGAAAGAGCTCCCAATGGCCAAATGTGCAACAATGTGAGCAACACAATAGACTAGAATTGCATTATAACTGAGTATAAAATCAAGACCCGTGAGTCCATACTGATGTCAGTAAATAATCAAATTCATAAATAAATGGGGGGAGAAGAGACAAATCTCCCATGCAGAGGAAGTCCAAACAGTTTCTGTAGACTCTCTGCCTGCAGAGAGGTGGAGCCTAAGTCCCCAGTTGTTAAGTGTGGGCTGAGCTGGTGACTTCCTTCCGCATCGCACAGCATGGAAAGTTGGGGGACGGGGGTCGTAACTAGACAGTGGAGAAACCTGACTGGGGCAGATGGAGAAGCCAAAGCCCCTCAGCCATGCGACAGAGACCAACATCAACAGTAATGAGTCACGGTGATGGCGTGTGCCCTCAACACAATGTGTGGTCTTCCCCCCCCCCACAAAAAAAAACCTACATCCCCCCCATTTCTAGGCAGGAGAAAAAGATTGAACAAATCCAAATCGAAGGGCACTCTATGGAATACTTCCATCAGTACATTTTGAAACAGTCAAGGTCATCAAACACCAGGAAAGTCGGAGAAACCATCACAGCCCAGAGGAGCCTGAGGAGACATGACAACTCACTGTAATGTGAGATCCTACATGGGATTCTGGAACAGACGTTAAGCAAAAACTAAGGAAACCTGAATAAAGTAAGGACTTTGGTTAATGACAACGTATCATGACTGGTTCATCAACTGTAGCAAATGCACCACTCTAAGGTAAGATGTTAGTAACGGGAGGGAGCTGAGTGTGGCATATAGAGAAACTCTCTGTATTACCCTCCCAATATTTCCGTAAGTCGATAACTGTTTCAAAAAGTGAAGTTTACTTTATTTTAAAATTAAGTTAATAATAATAATTTTTTAAAGACCCAACAAAACAGTTCTCAGGCAATTCTGACATGCAGGCAGGTTTGAGAACCTGACCAGCGGTTCTTACACTTGAATGTGCATCAGGATCACCTGGAGGACCGTTAAAAATCCACCTGCTGGGCCCCACCCCAACCACTGCTGCCACTGCTTCAGCAACCAGGCTCTGAGAACCAGGGTCCAGACAAATCAGGGGGTCATCCATCACTAGGCGCCTCCCTGATGCGCAGGTGAGCCCTCTGCTTGAACACTGGTGAAGGTCTGAAGATCTTGTTGAGTGTCCCCATTGCTGCTGGGGGTGGTGGGTGACTGCCCCATGCAATCGGTGAGCTGGGCACTGCAGAGAGGTAGGAGGAGGGGGTACGAGGAAACACAGAGAGGAACTTAATACTTGTTGGAGCCTTCCATTTAGTTTTTGGCAGGGATGCTGGAACCCAATCAGAAGCTGGCCCCCCAAAGCCCAGCCTGCCCCCTACTTGGGAAAATTACTGCGTGGACAGAGTGAACATGCCCTGGTGGCTGATCCTCTGAGAGCAGCTTAGAAGTATCAAGAAAGAGAACATATTTAAAAGACCTAGGACATAGTAAGCAATGTATGAATGGTGGCTCTTGCTTTATAATCATTATTGCCTGGCTCAGCACAAAAGTAATCCAGCAATATTTTCTGCATGAACCCTGTCTCCCCAACAATACTGTAAGCATCTTAAGGGCAGGATCACTGTCACACACAACACAGCCCAGCATAATACCTGTGCACCAAGAAATCCACGGGAATTATTCCGTGGCCCCTGGAGCCTTGAGTCACCCTGGGGGTGGACTCAGATCCTTACTTAGCCTCGTGGGCCTCAGAATCTCAAGAACCAAGTCCAAGGCAGGGAGCAGGAAATGACTCCCCGGACGGACCCCTCCTCCTACACGCCGGGTCCCCACCCAGGTGGGCGCCCAGCCACAAAGTGGCAGAGAAGCAGCGGGGCCTGTGTTGTTGGGCAGCTTCCTTGAAGCCTCCTCCTTTTGTACTGTTCCATTACTCAAAGCAACTGGGCTTTGTCAAGCCCCACTATGCGGGTAAAGTGATTCAATGAACTCCGGAAAGTAAACGCAAGCATTTAATTAAAAGGCTGGCATAGAGGGAGCTGTTTCTTCAGGGTTAACCTCAAAACCTTCGGCTCCTCGGAAGAGCTTCCTAATTGGAGCTGGCCAGGGTTTCTGCAGCACCCCGGGCAGATCCATGCCATGGCCTTGCTGGAAGAGGTTAGCATATCACAGGAGCTGCACTTGGAAGGCACTGGCTCCCGCCTGTGAGAAGTCAGAAGCTCAGGGCTTGTGCAGGTCAGAGCCTTCCAAGTCTGGAAGGTCCGCCCCCTCCCCCAATCAAGTCAAGGCACTAATTAACAATTGTATGAGAGAGGAGGACGGGAGGCTTACCTTTTGTGAGCAGTTCTCTAGGTTGTCTACAAATTTCTCAACAGTCCTATGAAACTGCCTGTCTTTGTCTATTTTGCAGGTGACGAAAAGTGAGTAACTGGCTGGAAGTCACAAAGATTTTAAGTGGTGGAGCCAGGGCTGGAGTCAGCTCTCCCTCATTTTATTTGTTCATTTGAAATCTGATTATTTATCACCTCCTATGGGCCGGCTAGAGGCTAGATGATGGAGATCCAACAAAAATCAGAGAGCTAAGGTCCCTGCCCTCACAGAGTTTGCTTCGGGTCGGGGAGATGAAAAGTCAACAAGGAAACTATTACCTAAAATTGGGACACATGAGAAAATATCAAGTGACGTGACAGAGAATAATGGGGGGAGGTCTCTGAATTCAAAGCCTGTGGTCTTTCTGCAAGAGCACAGGATAAAGCAGCCCCGAAAGGACCATCTGACCAAATAAACCACAAAACTACCTGAGGAAAACAGACCTCTTTATTCTCTATCAGGCCACTGGGCTCCCACCTCTGATGGTGACTTGAAGGATGTACCATCTCTGGGCCAAAAAGAGGAGGAGAGCCTCCTTGAGAGCCTGAATTCACATCTGAACCTAAGTGGCTAACATGGGCCCTGCATTTTAGGAGATTCCGAGCAAAGCTGCCCCCCAGACACCCTCAGGTGCTGGCCTCACACCGAGCTGCCCTCAAAGCCCCTCTGTGGCATCATGCTTCCTGAAACTGTGGCGGGCTGACTGGAAAGACACCACAGGAAACAGAACATGCTGGAAGCATGGAAGCTGAGGGCTCTGCGCCAGACAGCATGGAAATTCCAGCCCTGTATTTGCTAACTGGGGGAAGCTGGGAGGCCACATGAGCTCTTGAGCATTGGCCTCCTTGATGAGATGGGGCTAACACGACCTGCTTTTCAGGGTTGTTTTGAGTTCAGTTAAAGAACCAATAGGGGATTAGCAAGTGCCTAGCTCATCCTAGGTACTTTACAAACGTTGGCTGAAGGACCCCAAGTCATTCCAAAAAAGAAGAATTAACTGCTGAGCGCTCCTCCTCCCAGCCTCTAAGGCTGAGGCACAGACCCAGGCCAGGATGTGGTGTTCCAGACACAGAGAGCTGACTGCCCTGTGAGTCCAAAAATCAGGGGGAAACCCAACAATAGGCCAGCCTTCAGC